TGCTGTCACTGCTGTTGCTGCGCGCCTCTGACTCAAGAGCTGGGCTGATTTGAGGTGGTTGGGTTTTGTCCCACTAAAGTAACCAAATCGTGACCTTTGCAATCTACCTGGTATGGGAAGAATTAGCTTATGAAAAAGAAAGCCTTTGTGAGAAGTGGAAATGCCTACTCCGTTGTCTTACATCCATCTTGCTTTGGTGTCAGAGGGCTGTGTAGATACTCGATACTGACGGTGCGAAGCAGTCCCATGTAAATGCCCTTTTCACACTTGTCTCAATGGGAACGTTGGAATACTGACAGTAACACGCTGCCTGAAGCACCCCGCTTTGTACACACTGAAAAACCATTTTTGCTGAAGGTATACGGAGAACGTGAACACAAGAAAGCTGCTTTTGTAACACTTACTGTGATCCTTCAAATTCTTCTGTTCAATCATGAAACCTGATCTAGAAGAGGATATTTGTGGTTGTTCTTGGATCAAAGACTGAGCTGATGCAGGACACAATTACAAGCATCCAGACATGCCTTCAGTACATAATCCCAGAATCATTAGGGTTGGAAGAGCCCTCTGGAGATCATCCAGTCCAACCCCCTGCCAAGGCAGGGCCACCCAGGGCAGGTTGCACAGGAACATGTCCAGGCGAGTTGGGAATGTCTCCAGAGAGGGAGACTCCACAGTCGCCTTGGGCAGCCTGTTCCAGTGCTCTGCCACCCTCAATGGAAAGTTTAAGGTGCTTTCCAACCCTAACCATTCTGTGTTTCCATGTTGAGGTGAAAAATGCACCACAGTTTAAAACAGCAAATGCTGATTGTTGCAGGATTTATGCTAATTTAACTGTTGGGACTGTGTCTTCCCGTGCTTTTCCTAAAATAGGCGAAGAGCTCACAGGATGTTTGTGTTGTAGCCAAATCATACCTCGGGACTTGTTTGCTGCATTCTCGAGTGTGCTCTGCCCCTCGCCTGCACTCCTGGCTCCCTGTTTACTTGCTGCAAGATTTCATAACCCTCCCTCACTGCTGCTGTTTTTGGCGTTGACCTTGAAGCACCACTGATCTCTTCCATGCTTTTGTGTTCTTTTACTTTTCATTAGTATTTGGTGTTTCACTTCTTGCAGCAGTATTTTTCAGTCTCCTAGGTGTGAAATCTTGCTGCAGCCCCGAGCCCTGTTCGTACCTCCCCAGTCTGGGATCTGCAGCCACTGCTGGAGGAACAGGGAAGGTAGCCCAGAGAGTTGCAAGACCATCTGATGACTTCAGTCCTCCTGGAATTGCCTGCATGACAGCATGAAAAATGCACGCGGAGTTAACGTTGTGTTAACGCAACAGGAGTGGTTCCCGAAAATTGGGTTGTCCTTTCTAGGCAG